TACCCCCAGATGAATGACTCACCATTTTGCATTCTAAGTCTGTCTCTTTTCTCTTGCTTCCTAGACCCCAGTGCCTGGAATGAGGCCACTGAGAGCACAGAAGACAGAATGGTTCCCTTCTGTTAAATCTGGTGCCTGGTGCTTCTACACTCCAGCATTTACAAAGTCCTGCTCTACGATCACAACTGTGGATATTGGATACTAGAGCACTATAGACCAGAATACCAACTTGACAACACACTTTTATATGACTGTTAGAGGAAAGATGGGGAACCTAACCATCCCAGCAACCACTGCAGCAGGAGAAATGGGTAGTCGTGGCTGGGTAGGACTCTTGTGTTAACCCTTTATAGACTGCATGTGGCGCATGGGCTGCCAGTTGGACAGCCCTGAACTAGAATATTCAGGATCCTCAGAGAGTCTTACCTATGAGAAGTCTTCAGCACTTAATTGCATTTATCCACATGGCTATAAAGAACTGGCAGAAGATTTGTGTGGCTACACAAGATTTGTAAGAAGGCAGAGTATAGAGACCTGGCTGATGGACTAAAGGCAGAAAAACACATAAAAAAACGAATGACACTGCACTACAGGAAAAAACATGGTAGAGAAAAGGTATTCTCATCACAAAGATATAAAAAATACCACTGAAGAGGAAGGAAAAGAGTAATTTTACAAAATATCTTGTTGCATAATTGGCCCTTCTCAGCAATAGGACGAAACAGGATATTTATAAGTTGAGTCTACGCTCTTTCAGCAGAGGGCACCACAACACAGAATAGTTAGCCCACTGACATCACTCGATTCATAGAATCATAAAGAAGTAGAGTTGGAAGGAACCTTAGGAGGTCATCTAACCCAGCCCCTTTCTCAAGGCAGCACTGTCCCTATCCAAACCCTCCTAGGAAAGGGTTCTCTAATATATTCTCAAAAGCTTCCGTGGAGATTCCACAGCCTCTGTAGGCAACCTATTCTGATGCTTTACCATTCTTATAGTGAAGAATTTCTTCCCAATATCCAATCTAAAACGTCTTTGCTGTAAGTTGAGGTCATTGCTCTTCATCCTTTCCCCTGTGAACACAGAGAATAAATAGTCTATCACTGTCCTCTTAAAAGGATTAGTATTAAGCCAAACACATTCCTG